AATTATGTGGGTGATGAATACAGAGAAGCATCGAAAGATCTACGTAAACTGATGCAGAGCAAAGTAAGAAGAGCCAACAAAACAACATACATAGTCACTACAACAATGTAAATGGAAAGAACAATGAATGATGCACCAAAAAAAAAATGAAAAGCAAATTAACAAAATTATAAAGATCAAGTGGGACTGGAATGAAGAGATATGAAAACACTCCCCCAATCAGCCCCTTTATGGAGGTAGGAGTTCCACAGGTATTATATGTTGTACATGTTTTCAGGCTTTTTCAATGTATCAATCCGTTGTTTTGATTTTTTTTTCCTCTCTAAAAATTTTGATTTGTTCTATGGGACGGCTCTCTGAGAGGGGAAGGATTACATGTGATACTATGGTGATGGAATAAACAGAAAAGATCGATGTAAAAAATGTATTTTAAAAACATGCATAGAAACATGCACTCTCTTTGAGTAAAACAGATTTTTGCATTGGCTGGGCCCAAAATTAGGTCTCATTTTGCACTGAGTCTTACACCTCTTTAAAAGGAGGTGGGTAGCATCTTCCAACATTTGTCCTCTAGAATTGTGGTTGGTTGTTACATTGAGCAGAGTTCCTAAGTTTTTCTTTTTCTTTTTTTTTTTTTTTTGGTGAGGAAATTGGGGTTAAGTGACTTGCCCAGAGTCACACGGCTAGTGAGTATTATGTCTGAGGCTGGATTTGAACTCAGGTCCTCCTGACTTCAGAGCCAGTGCTCTATCCACCATGCCACCCAGCTGCCCCATTCCTAAGTTTTTCAAAGTTGTTTTTACAATATTGCTGTCACCATATAAATTTTTTTTTTTACTCTGCAACAGTTCATGAAAGTCTCCCTAGGTTTTTCAGAAACCATTCATTTCATCATTTCTTTTGCACGATAGTATTCCATCACACTTATATACCATAAAGTGAAGTAAGTTGAATCAGGAGAAACAATATAAAAAATGGCTACAATATAAATGGAAGGAACAAATATGTCTGAATGCTGTGAAAAATCAAAATGACAATAGAAAAGATTTACGAACGTACCTCGTTTTGCAGAGGTGGGTTACTGTATTTTTTTTTTGTTATTTCATAAAAATTTATTGATGTTTTCCACATAAATTTCTCCCTATATTTCTCTGTTGAATGCTCCCAGAGAGCCATACCATATAACAAAGATGTTAAGCGAAGAAAAAAGCCCGTACAACTAATTGACACATTGGAAAATATATTCAATGATCCGAAGTCATACACCGAGACCTTTTCATATCAGTCTTTAAAATGATGCTTGTTCTTTCGACTTTATTGATTTATTAACCTGTGTAGTTGATTTGCATTCCGTCTTTTTTCCTACATCACCCCCCTGCACAGAACTCTGCTCCTGTCTGGCACTGAAAAGCCTCCACAACCTAGCTCCTTCTAGTACACTACGATCTGGCAACTTCGGTTTCCTCTGGTTGCTTGAGTGACCATCCCAATGGCCTTGGCCTATTTCACTGGTTGCCCCCCAGGGCTGGGACGCTCTTTCTTCACTTCCTGTTCTTAGAATTCCTAGCTTGAAGTCTACCACCTTCTGCAGGAAATCTTTCTTGCTCCCTCTCCCTCCCAAGTGCATTCCCTCCTAAAGTTCCCTTGCATTTACTTTGCATGTATCTTGTATGTAATTGTACATGTTGTCTTACCCATTAGAATGTAGGATCCTTTTGGGCAGGGGCCATTTGCACTCACATTTGTATCTCTAACGCTTAGCACAGTGCCTGGCACATTGCAGACACTTAAGAAATGTATGTAAATTAACTGAATGGTAAATGTTGATGAATTGAGAAGGGCAGTCACACTAGTAAACTGTCGGATGAACAGTTCAATTAGGAAAGGAATTTGTTATGCTAAAATGGTTACTAAAATGTCCAGACTATTTGACTCAGAGATTCCACACAGGTAGGCAGGTTTAGAGACAGAAAGGTTACATAAACACCAAAACGTTCCTAGCAGAATTTTTTGCGATAGCAACAAATTGGAAACAGACTAACTACTTCATTGTTTGGGGAATGGTTAAACAAAGTGTCTTATATGAATGCAATGAACTATTACTGTGTTGTAAGAAAGCACTATAAGTAATTCAGAAAACCATGAGAAGACTTAAATGGACTCAGTCAAAGTAGGGTAAGCAGTGTTGACCTGAAAGTTGGTTAAAACGACAACAAGCTAGGTGATAAGTAAATATATATTGTTTATTCCCTTAAGTCAGTGACATGTACATGGAGCCAGAGCTTTACTCTGCATCAAACAATTTTAGGAAGACATTTAAACCCTAACTCAGGATGTCTGTGTTACTAAAAAAAAATATAGCCTCCATATGTTTTTTTTAAAATATAGCATGGGAAAGGAAGTTTCTTAGTTGAATAGGTTGTAAATATAATAAAATAGGAGAATGTCAGTGTCAATTGAAATTATAGATCCAGGACATCTGTGCTTTCCCTCCATAATATAGGTCCGTAGGATACCAGGATAAGAAAAGTCCCACTATTCAAGACAGCGTCTGGTCCCAGATATCCCGTCCTTGGTGATCACAGACAGGAACGATGCTGGTCAGCTTCATCTGGCCCTGTAGTCGCTGACACAGGAAGGGGTATTTTTAGTTCACTTAGAAAAGATTAATTCAGGTTTTTGGCCCTTATTGGGGCTCAATTGATCTTAAAGGAGTATCAGCAGAAAATAACACGCAATAGCTGCAACGATACAAACCAGAAGAACAAAACTAATCAGAACAAGGAACCATTTTATTGACTGAGATGGGTCTTTTAAAAGATGAAAAAATACACCACCCTCCCTTCTTCTTCATATTTGTGACATTTAAAAAGGTCAAGAGGCATAGTTTCTGGGTAATTAATCATTGTATTAATAATGCTAGTATTTTGCTAATAAAAGGAATGGTCATTTGGCTCTGACCAAAGACAATCATGGCTGCAGGTCCTTGGGAAAAAACCTTAGGTCTCCCCAATTTTAATAACGGGCTGTTAATATGAGATAGAAATAATTTCTCTCATGTAGAAAATGAGTATGGAATATTGTATACTCTTCAACTCAGATTATTCATTAAGTTTTTACAGAATTGCATTTTTCCCCCTTTTTCTAAATTAATTACAAGAAATAACTCTCTGGGCAGGGGATGGGGAGGGATATATTCAGAAATGAAACCGATATAATGAAAGATATCAATTTTTTTAAAAAAAGAGAATATTAAAATATTATTTGTAAATGACACTGATAATTACATTTACAGATGTTTACAAACATTCTTCAATGAATCTACAGTAATGTAAGGGAGACTGGTGTAATCAACCACAGTGGAAAAAACAAAGTGGATGAAAAACACAGATTTTTCTAGAATATAGTATTCAACTGAATTTCTAATACATTCAGTTCTAACATTCAGCAGTTTTTAATCTCTTCATCTCTTGGAGCCATTTTGGTCTGGTCTGGTGAAACCTATGGGCCCCTTTTCAGGATAATGTTTTTTAAATGCATAAAATACATAGTATTAAAAGGAAATAATTATATATTATAAACTTAAAAAACTAAGTTAAGGATGCTTGAATTAGGACATTTCTATGAATATGTGTGCACACATATAATACACACGCATAAACGTACAAACATATGTGAAAGTGGGTAGAAAATCGGCCTTGGAGTCAAGAACACTTTAATTCAAAGGCTGCATGTGACGGGCAGTAGTTGTGTGACCAGGGGCAAAGCCCTTAATTCCCAGCATTCCAAGCAGCTCTGAGACTATATTAATGACTTCCTTCTCTGAATTAGTGAAGAGCAGTTTCACATTAGGGATTCTCAAAACCAATCAGCTCATATATTCAGAGCAAACACACACTGGAATAGACAGTGAGTTCAAATGGAGTGAGAGATGGGTATAAATTGGAGACAGAGATGAATCACGATTGAGAATTTCTGCAAGACTTTCAATGCTACCAAGCTACTCATTGTCATGAAAGCCTACTTCCTTAACAATTTTCTGATTCATGATACAGGGACAGTGACTTTTGGAACTCCATAATCTCAGAAGAATCAAAGTTACTGGTACAGTAAGAGTTCTCAATCCAAATCCCATCTCTGACACTTACTATCTTTGGAATCTTGGACAACTCCCACCACCTAGAACCTGATTTTCTTCATCCATAAAATGAGGTGGCTGGACAACATGATCTCTACATTCCTTCTTGGCTCTAACCTTGATAATTCCATGACCCTAGGACTGTTCGTGCCTGAGAGAAAATGCAGAGAGCAGGTTGTAGTAATGCAAAATGGAAACAACATATGAACTGGATAGGCAGAGATGGGTTGGAATCCAGAATAATTTAGCAGTCAGTTTGGCCCTCTCTTTTGCCATTATAACTTCTATTAAAGGTATCTATGAATAAGTTATCTCTCTTAGTAATCTATAAATTCTTTTAATTCCAAGGACTATGTGTCATTCCATCTTTGAATCTTCAAGTGGTAAGTGAGATTTTTTTTTTTTGAGGCAATCAGGGTTAAGTGACTTGCCCAGGGTCACACAGCTAGTAAGTGTCAAGTGTCTGAAGCCAAATTTGAACTCAGGTCCTCTTGACTCCAAGGCCAGAGCTCTATCCACTGTGCCACCAAGCTGCCCCAGTGAGATTTATATGAAATGATGCAGAGTGAAGAGCACAGAGGGAGAAAAAAAAATACACACTCTGATTTTGTGTAAACAATAAAATCATCTAGAAAAATGCATGAAAACAAGGATTTCAGAAGGCAACAAGGAAGCAAAGAAACTTATTTGTTGTCATCTTGTGGAAGCAAATATACATTTACTTTAACAAAGTGTAAATAAAGATTACTGTTTCACATATGCTAAAGCTTTTCAAACAAATATTTCTGTTAATGAGTAATTTTGGAATAAAAAGGAAAACAAAACAAAATTGAGAGAGCTGATCTAGTATAAGAAATTTCAGTGGTTTTGCCAAAATGTTTAATTAAAAAAACAAACCCCAAATCAGGCCCACTTGATTCACAAATTAAGAAGCTCTAGTGCCACCTAACAGCATCTTTGGTGTGTTACAGCAAAGACTGGCAAGAAAGGACAGTCTTTTTTTTTTAATCTCTGAAAACTCCAAACAATATGGTGGCTGGTGACATTTGTTACCAACTTGACTCTCCAGTATTAAACAAAAGATGACTATGCCCCCACATGATTTAATCTACCCAGTTATTCAGCATAGATTCTAGGATATGGGTTTATGACACCCAGATGAATTTCCATCATCATACAATTGAGAATCTTTGTCTTTCACATTAATTCGCTGATGTTTCCTAAGAGTTTCCCATATTAAATATATAAAGTTTTTCATCAGGATAATTTATCTCATAAGTATGGGTGTCCACTAATGCTGAGAAGTTAACCATGTTGGATTGGGAGGATACAACATGCAAGTATGAGTTATTTGATGGTTAACAAGGTATATTTTTTGACTGAAGGCTTTTCCACACTCATTACACTCAAAGGGCTTCTCTCCAGTATGAGTTCTCTGATGGTTAATGAGTTCATCCTTCCGAGAGAAGGCTTTCCCACATTCATTACACTGAAAGGGTTTCACACCTGTATGAATTCTCTGATGTCTGACAAGGGTTCCCCTAGCTCTAAAGGTTTTCCCACATTCGCTACATTCAAAGGGTTTCACTCCAGTATGAATGCTCTGATGTCTAATAAGGGTTCTCCTCTCACTGAAGGCTTTCCCACATTCACTACACTCAAAGGGTTTCTCTCCAGTATGAGTTTTCTGATGTCTTTCAAGGTGTCCCTTCAGACTAAAGGCTTTCCCACATTCTTTACATTCAAAAGGTTTCTCTCCAGTATGAGTTCTTTGATGTCTTTCAAGGAGACCCTTCAAACTAAAGGCTTTCCCACATTCATTACAATTGAAGGGTTTCACTCCAGTATGAGTTAACTGATGTTTAATCAGGTGTACTTTCTGACTGAAGGCTTTCCTGCATTCATTACATTCAAAGGGTTTCACTCCAGTGTGAGTTATTTGATGTCTAATAAGGCTTCCTCTGGTGATAAAGGCTTTCCCACATTCATTACATTCAAAGGGTTTGACTCCAGTATGTATGTCCTGATCTCTACTAGGTTTTCCTTTCTCACTGAATGCTTTTTCACTTTCAACATATTCAAAAGACTTCTCTCCAATGTGAGTTCTTTGATGACTTTCAAGGTATCCCTTCTCACTAAAGGCTTTCCCATATTCAAAGAGTTTCTCTCCAGTGAGAGCTTTCTGATTACTTTCAAGGCGTCCCTTCAGAATCAGGTCTTTCTCACACTCGTTATAATCGAAAGACTTCACTCCAAGATGAGATATCTGATAGTTATTATGGTATACCTTTGGACTGGAAGTTTTCCTATATTCATTATAAATAAGTGACTTTACTCCAGTATGACTTATCTGATGATTAATAAAGTATACTTTCCTACTGAAGGTTTTGCCACATTCATTGCATTCAAAGGGTTTTACTCCAGTATGTGTTCTTTGATGTCTAATAAGGGCTCCTTTTTCTGTGAAGGCTTTCCCACATTCATTACATTCAAAGGGTTTCACTCCAGTATGAGTTCTCTGATGTATAATAAGGGTTCCCTTTGCACTGAAGGCTTTCCCACATTCATTGCATTCAAAGGGTTTCACTCCAGTATGAGTTCTTTGATGTCTAATAAGGGCTCCCTTCTCCCTGAAGGTTTTGCCACATTCAACACATTCAAAGGGTTTCACTCCTGTATGAGTTCTCTGATGTCTATTAAGGTCTCCCCTCTGTATGAAGCCTTTTCCACATTCAATACATTCAAAGGGCTTCTCTCCAGTGTGAGTTCTTTCATGACTAATAAGGTGTCCCTTCTTACTGAAGGCTTTCCCACAATCATTACATTCAAAGGGTTTCTCTCCAGTATGAATTCTCTCATGACTAATAAGGTGTCCCTTCTTGCTGAAGGCTTTCCCACAATCATTACAGGCAAAGGGTTTCTCTCTAGGATGAATTGCTTCATGATGAATCAAGGGTCTCTTGTCGATGAAGGCTTTTCCACATTTACTACTTTCACATGGTTTCTCTCCAGTATGAATTCGCTGATGTTCAGTGAGGTTTGAGCTTCTGCCAAAGGTCTTTCCACTTTCACTGTACTCATGTAGCTTTTCTCCAGCATGTAGTCTATGAAATTTAATTAGATCTGAGTGGTAACTGAAGGGCTTCCTGCAAGTGTTATACTTATAATGGTTCTTCCCTAAAGAGACTGTATTACATTTAATTAGGTCTGAAATCCCCCTGAAGCTCTTACCAAGTGTCTTATATTTATGGGGACTTTTCCCCACAGCAGTACTCCATGGTGAAGCAAATCCAGACGCCTGGCTAAAACTTCTCCTGAATGTATTACACTGAGGTAGACTCACAATATTAAAAGTTGTTCTGTGGGTGCCTGCTACTTGTCTAGATCCTCTCTCTTTTGGTATTTCTAAAATGACATCAAGTTCTCCAGTTTCTCCCATTTCATAATGCCAAGAACTGTCCTCTTGCAGTCTTTTCTTAGATGATACACCTAGGTTAATTCCCTGTATCCATCCCGATTCCTGAGTTTCACATCTGGTCTCCTGAGTATGGGAACCTGAAAGAAAAATTTAAAAGTCACTAGTCATTGGTTTTGCTGGTTCTCCCCCTACCCTTTAAAAAAAAAAAACTACACACATAACATCCTCCCCCAACCCCCCCCAAAAAACTCTTGTCAGTGATGGATTTTTGGGAGGGGGCTAGGGGACATACAGAAAGAAGCTTAAGTGATGTAAAACAAAAGATATCAATAAATTTTTTTTTAAGTTGCTAATCATAGTTTTCTCTGCTAAGAGAAAGGAAACTTCTGTAGCAAATTTTACCCTCTGTCTCTTGCATAAAGGTGAATGATGCTCAATTTGGCCTAGGAAGAACAAGCACTGTTTACGTGGAATTAAGACAAGAGAACTGAGGAGAGGGTCACAGAGCACCTTGCCACTAGGAATAAATGATGTACGAGCCAAAGCTCTAAAGGCACTAACAGATGCCACTGAAAGAAATACTCTCAATGAAAAACAAAATTATCATCATAACAATGGAAAACCAGAAGGGGGGAGGGAACCAACAATCAACTAATGCGATTATTCAACTAGAAAATGGATTGGAGTCCTAAGTACATAGAAGGGATATACTTGGGTAAGCAATTGCAGAAACTTTTACGAATTACCGAGCTTCTCCCAAATTGTGAATAAAAAAGGAATCTAATATGTTTCAGGAAACTTTATAACAACAATTCTCAAAAAAATTGGATATGAAACGAACACAAATGATAGAGGATTAGAGGGAGAGACTAAAAGCCACTTTTTCATCACCATTTTACCCCCCTCCTTTCTGTTTGAGCGTGAGCCCTGGGGTTACCTGGTACAGTCAGTACTAAGAACTAAAGGGAGCTGACGATCATAAGAAGGATGAGAGCTGGAAGGATAAAGTTAGACATTAGATTGTAATTGGATTTTAAGCTCCTTGAGGGCAGGGACTGTCTTTTGCCTCTTTTTGAATTCCCCAGCATTTAGCATAGTGCCCAGCACAGAGTGGATGCTTAATAAATGTTCATTGACTGATTGAGGACAAAGAAAATAAGAGTAGTTCAACATGCAGATATGACTTTAGCTTGTGTATATGCTACCTTCTTGGAGACCTTTGGCTCAGGGGAAGAGGTTTACAGCCCCTGACTGATCTGGTTGAAAAGACGCTCTTCCCTGACTGAGAGAGGCTTGCTGACCACAGCTTCACAACTGATGGTGCAGGCAACAGAGCTGGCTGACATAAATATGTTGCTCTTCTGCGAGGGAAAGGTTCACTGAATACAGCAATCCCAGGGACTCCCAGTAGAATGTTAGGTTCTCTTCAAGGCAGCTGCATCCCTGAAGATGAGGAAGAATCAAGAGCAGTGACCAGGAATGGAGAGAAGTGATGCCCAACATGGAGTTTAAGAAGCCTGACACCCTGTGTGCACCAGCAGTGGAAGCAGACCCAGCAAAGGGAAGCTCAGGGACCTCATTAAATGCCCTTTGTAGCTCAGAAGCACCGGAGGTCTCTATTATCCATTCACGTGTGTATCCTGATCACATGAGTTCTGTCTGTGTCGATTCATTCATGTGAGTGGGATTCCAAGGGATGCCTATTCTTCCCAGAGAGTATTTTTGGCAGAATAAGGTCTGACTTTATTGGGAGTGGGGAGAAATTCTGTAGTTTTAAAAATTACTATATTTCATTACATGTTCAAATGTCCCCCCTGATGGACTGTTTCAATTGTGGTGAGGCAAAATATTCTTATCGATTCAACAAAAGGAAGAAATTACAGAGAATTTGAATATATAAAATTTACTGCAAAAAAAGGAATCTTTTGAGAAAAAAGAAAAGAATAAGCAAAAAATCTTTACCATAAATATTTTTTATAAAATGGCATCTTGAGAGGAATGAAAAGACTATGGTTAAGAGAACATTCCTGTGAGTATCAATGGTTATAAGAAAACCTAAGAAAAAAACTGGGTGTCCGTAAATTGTGGAATGGGCAAGCCAATGATGTGCAGCATGGATGTGGAATAAATATTCAGCAAAATGATGATGAGGAAGAATTTAAAAAAACAGGCGCAAGGTCATACGCCAAGGCAAAGAAAGAAGATGGTGGCCCCAAAAGAACGTTGTACACCTTAATGACAACGAGGTCATTAAAGACAAAAGAAACAGTCACCAGTTGTATCTACCCTGATGAGATGATCAGGAATGATGATGAAAACCAGGATGCAAGGCGGACGATAAGATGCTGGTCACCAGACACCTTCTGGGGAGGGTGATGCCTGGTAAAAGATGGGAGTTTACTGCCATAAATAGAGCCGCTTGCTGCCTGTTACTTTTATTTTGCTCAGTGGCACACTGCATGGAGGACTGGGCTTGGAGTCAGGAGGTCATTTTGTTGTTCAGTCAATTAGTTGTGTCCAAGTCTCCAGGATCCCATTCGGGGTTTTCTTGGCAAAAACACTGGAGTGGTTAGTCATTTGCTTCTCCATCTCATCTGACAGGTGAGGAAACTGACGCACACAGGGTTAATGACTTGCCCATGGTCACATAGCTGTAGTTGAACTCAGGTCCTCCTGACTCCAGGGCCACTATCCACTACCTAGCTGCTGGAGTCAGGAAGACCTGACTTCAAATTTGACCACAGACATTTCCCTGCTGTGTGACTGTGGGCAAGTCACTCTCCCTGTTTGCCTCAGTTTTCTTCACTGCAAAATGGGAATAATAGTCTCAACCTCCCTTCTAGGGTTGTTGTGAGGATGAAACGGGATGATATTTGTAAAGTGCTGAGCACGGTGTCTGCCACAAAGTGGGCACTATATAAATACTAACTGTGATTGCTGTTATTATTAAAGCTGGTTCATATATTTGAACATCTGCATTTTTCAATGGGGATCACTGGCATGGCAAATCTACTTTCGGGAACTTCGTGCAAGTTGTAGATATTTAAATGGAACTTCACTTTCTATTTCTGCCTTTTATATTTTTGGCTACAGGGAATACCTCCCCCAGCTCAGGGAGGCAAACATTTGGAAATGAAAGTGATGCCAGATCACAAGAGACTCCTTTCTTCTGAACACAGGGCTCAGGACTCTGGCCACTCTCCCTTGGATTGACCTTGAGGGTCAAGGGGAACCTTCCCTCTGCCTCCTTCCTGCAGCCAGCAAGGCTCTGGGCGCTAGCTCAGACGCACCTAAACTTGACCTCGAATTTGTGCTTCCTCTTCTGCATTGTGTTTCGTTGCCTGAGCAGAGGTGACCAAAGGGAAACTCTGTGAAGGCCATTTCCAGCTTTGGTGGCTACTTCATCTGTTCTGTATATTGAATATCTTCCTTATGATCCATCTTGGAGAGACTCTGGACATGAACCCCAGTGCTTTGTCCCACCCGCTTTGGGGCGGGGCGGGGTTAAGAAGCCAGAGAGGATGAGGACAGCTCGACTTCTCTGTCTGCGGCTCGGCTCCTCCGGGACTGAACCTGCTCCGTGTGAGCCTGGAGCCAACGTCCTTGGACAGAGGGTGCCCCGGCCCACAAGGCAGAGGGTCTTTGTGACGTCGAGCTAAGTCTGATCTTATTCTCCCTTGTAGCATTAGCCTCCTTGCCTGCTTGGTCACACACTGCTCCACACAGACCAGCCCAACCGGCCTGCTTGCGGTCCTTCATGAGCCATCTCCTGTCGGTCTCCATGACCCTGTAGGAGGCTGGCCGGCCCTCAGCCCTTCTCCAGCCTCCCCTCTGCCTCCTAGAGCTCAGGGCTTTCTCACCTCCATGAGGCCGTGACTGGACCTCCCAGGCACTGGAAAAGAAGACTGACAAACTGGTGCAAAGGGAAGTACGGAATCACGACGCAATGAGCCAAACGGAGAAACCGGATGCTGTTATGGTGACCAGCTGAGTCCTAAAGCAGGGACTGGAAATGACGCCTCCTCCCCTTTCCGCAGAGCTGGGGGATCAGGGAGGGGGAATGTGGCGAATCCCACGGCCGCTTCGGTGACGGCTCCGCTGGTTTTGCTGACCCATTTTTTCACTCTCTTTCCTGTCAGTTCTTTGTTACATGGGATGATTCTCTGGGCAGGTGGGGGTGGAGGCAGTGGTACTGACCATTTGGAAATGGAAGTGATGTGAACACAGAAGACATTTAAAAGCTTAAAGACATTCGTAGACATGAACGCTTTTGCTGATGGCAGGGAATTTTAGATGAATTTAAAAACCAACAAAAGGGAGGAAATGTTTCGTTCTGAGACAGGTAAATATGGAGAGAAAGCTATCCTTGTGAGAAAGGGAGCTCGTGCTGGACTTTAGCCCCAGGTGGCTGAGGGGTCATCGGGATCTCTCAGTCCAGCACTGAGCAGCTGATCTCGTCCTTGCAAAGATACCTACGTGGCATCTCATCACCCACTCACCTGGACAGCATCTGCTTGGCACTCCTCCCTCGGGCATCCATGGTGCCTCTCCTCTCTCCAATAGGGAGATCACGTCCAGTTTGGAAACGGGCAGCCCTAATCATAGGAATGGAAATGAGGAAGTAAAGGGGCTGGAAGACGCCTCAGAGAGCTCAGTTTTCTTCATGGAAAGCACGGTAGCTAAGAAAGGGTAGCTGTATGAAGGGCCTCTGAAGCATGCTCTGTACTGAATTCCAAGGAAGAACTGGTCTCAGATCAAATTTAGACTCAGAAAAAAATTCAGTTCACCTGACCATCCTGAGGTGGAGGAGCCCTTTGCATGCCTTCCGGTATCTCTTCGGGGCTTATCTGGGTTTTCACAGCATTGGAGAGGAGCTCTGGGGCTATGTAGGTAAACCCTTCCCGGGAAGGAATCCCCTTCATGACATCTGGCCTCTGCCTGAAGCCCTTCGAGGAGGTGGAGCCTGAGCCTCAGGAGGAACCCTGGGCCAGCTTGCCTGGCAACAAACTTCTTGACATCAAACGTTTTCTCCTTGTCCCCAGCGCCCTTGGTTCTGCCCTCTGGGTCAAACATGACTCAAAGGGCTACCTGGCAGCCCTCCAACACCTATCTATCAGGACTATCAGGACCCTCCCAAGTCTTCTTTGCTCCAGACTAGAGTTCCCATTTCCTTCAATTGATCACAGTATGACCTGGACTCAAGGCCCTCCCCCACCCCGTCCGCTCGCCTCTGGACCTTTATCAATGTCCCAGAAATGAGCATAACCCTCCAGACGAGACCTGATGAGGGCAGAGTAGACAGCGACCAGCCCCTCCTTATTGCTGGTGGCCCTGCCCCTCTCCATGCAGCCCAGCGTTGGCTGCCCCATCTCACTGTGTGCGACCGTGAAAAACTTGAAGCTTTTCTGGACAAACTGCGGCCACCCCAAGCCTTCCATGTCTTGCCCTTCTGAAGGTGACTGTAACTAAGTGCAGGACTTTACACAGATCCCACTGGATTTCATTCTCCCGGATTCAGCCAAACGTTGACCCATTGTCAAGGATCTTCTGGGATCCTGACTCCACCTTCCACCTAGAGCTGTATCATCTACAAGTTTTAATTCTTGGAGGTCTCAGGGGAGGTACCCAATTTAGCTAAGACAGTCCTTGCGTAATCTCATGGAGCTTTGGGTCTGGGGACAGTGAAATCTATGCAGAGGAGCACTCCAAGCAAAGGGCCTGGGGAAATGTTTGTGGGGAAGGAGGGACAGGGAGGGCTTCCTGCGGAAGCAGCCAAATGCCCTGGGGACGTTACCAAGAACCTTTCTTGTGAAGAAACAAGGAGTCCAAAGGCTCCATCTTCAGAGCTAGCACAAGAAAGCTACGGACGTCCATTCTTACTGTGAAAGACATTTCACCTGAGAATAGGAAAGACAAACATTCTTTCTACTGGCTATCAAGGGTTTTGGAGCCTTTCCACCTGCCATACAGTCTGGAACGTTCCCTTATGACGAGCTCAAACTCAACTAAGCATTTCAGAACCCCTCCCCTTCTCCCCCATCCCCAAACCTTCCTGATCAGACCTCCCCAAGCCTTCCTTTACAGAGGGCTGTGGTCTGGACTCTCCAGCTCGCTCCTCACTTTCCATCTGCAGCTCAGCTGGCTTACAACTCCATGGAACACGGTACCCATGAGGGCCCCTCCCTCAAACTCCAGCTTCCTTTTGGGTGCTGTTTTCCCTCACTGGATTATAAGCTCCTTGAGGGCAGGGTCTGTCCTTTTCTTCTTTGTATCCCCAGTGCTTAGTACGGGGCAGGGCACACAGTAGACACTCAATGAAAGTCCAAAGAATTCAACTGAATCATGACCCACCAGTGGGCATATTATTGTTATTATTATTATTGGTGGTGGTCACAAGGGATAACTGGACTTACCAAGGAAGACAAAGTTCTCATAGTTCTCCATCATTACATGCCGGTACAGGTCTCTCTGAGCAGGCTCCAGCTGTCTCCACTCCTCCCAGGTGAATTCCACAGCCACATCCTTGAATGTTACTGATTCCTGAAACATCAAATAGATTCTACTCGTGTCTCACCCAGCTGAGGAGCTGAGTCCACACCTGACACTACAAAGTGGTGGAGAAGAGCCTGAATGAAGTAACATCCAATGCAGGCAGAACTGATGTGATCACTGACCAGTGACCACAACACAAAGTGAAATCACGACTGCCAAAAAGTTAACTAGCTCAGCCCTCCGCTCCCTGCCCACCTGAGGGGTTTCTGATTTCGGGCTGACTTCTCAACCCAACCAATTGACTCTATGGACTTTGCCACCATGATGCCATTGCCATGTCACTTAGAATGTCTCTTATCACTTGGGGCCTCTGTCCCTTCTAACAGTCCCCTCACCACGCTGGCCCATGTCTGTCACAGGTGAGTTGTTTGCAAGGCCTCCACTTCGGAGAAAGGCCCAAGCCAGCTGTGCTTCGTTTCTCTCCCAGTCGTGCTTCTGAGTCTACAAACTTTGCCACCATATCCCTGTGGGGTACCGTGCCCCCTTCCACTCCCTGCTATGCTTTGTCTTCCCCTTTTAGAATCTCCTATTCTCCTCTTGAAATCAGGGAATGTTTTTCTTTTTGCTTACATTTGTATCCCCAGCACTTGGCACACTGTCTGGCATATAGCAAATGCTTAGCAGACATTTGTTGCCTGCTCTGACACATGACAACTCTTTGTGCCCTTTCTGCTGTGATGTTTGGAATTCCAGTTCCCTAATTAACAAATTTTTCTTCATTTTAGATTTTTCCTTTTGTCTTCTGGCATTTGCAGAAATCTATCTCCAGATGATTATGAATTCTTGCCGTCTTGTCCAGTATTGGTTCCGCTTTCTCTCATATATTTAATTTGGAAGAGAAAAAAATCTCTTAAGAGTAGGAAGACACCTTTGAGGTCATACAGTGTAACTTTCCAGCCCACATTCAGGAATCCAACTTCCACCAGCACACCAATTCTAAAAAAAATCCTTATCAAATCACATACCTTAATGGTGAAACTTGCTAACATTCCAACTGAAATGCTATATAACCTCTATATCAACCATTAAAGTAGTCAGAGAAAATCATGGAAGCATGAGGCCCTAGAAGGAACCTGGTACAGAGTACAGAGACCATCAAAGATAGGAGAAAGAGATGGTTTTATATACTTATAAATGACATAGTATTTCAGGAGAGAGGATAAACCTGAACTCACCTGAAACTTGGATATCAGGAACCCAGAAGTCATTCCCTCCTCACCCTCCATACTCCAGGCTTGGGGAATGGCAGAGTGTTGAGGAGTCTGAACTGGATAAGAAGAAAGAAGTCATGGCAGAGACCAACCCTGCCTTGCAGGTGCTAAACAAAATCCCCCCCAGCATCCTAGAAGGCCTCACCTCAGCCCTGGGCCATTATGTTTTGTCAACTCTACCCTCTAGATCCATGGTATCAAACTCAAATAGAAGTAAGGATCACTAAACCGTACATAAGGATCACTATGGGCCACATTTCTTTTTTGTCTAGGCACTGGGGTTAAGTGACTTGCCCAGGGTCACACAGCTAGTAATTGTTACGTGTCTGAGGCCGGATTTGAACTCAGGTCCTCCTGAATCGAGGGCCGGTGCCCTATCCACTGTGCCACCTAGCTGCCCCTTATGGGCCACATCTTGACTTAGAAAACCACATGTTGGGGCAGCTAGGTGGCACAGTGGATAGAGCACCAGCCCTCAATTCAGGAGGACCTGAGTTCAAATCCGGCTTCAGACACATCACACTCGCTAGCTGTGTGACTCTGGGCAAGTCACTTAACCCCAATTGCCTCACCAAAAAAAAAAAAAAAAGAAAAACACATGTTAATTTTATCTATGTTCCACTGTATTTTTACTTACTCCGGTTAATCTGGTCTGGGTCACACCAGAAAGTGTTTGACACCTGTGCTTGGGCGACCTTTTCCTCCACTTTCTCCGGGCTACAAATCCTGCTGACCCTACAATAAGGTTCTCTCTACTCCCCCTCCTTCACTTTCTCCTGGTTATAGACCTTTGTTCTACTTTATTCAGTTAAGCTCAGACAATCAACGTGAACCCCTTCAAATTCCCTGAGCTCATTTTACTACTGCTTTGTATTTTCATTTTCCCTCTCCTCCCTCCTTCCTCTCTGAGAGGAAATAAAGTTCAACATGACAAGTGTGGATTAAGTACCCATCAGGTGCCAGATGCACAAAGACAAGACAAGTACCTGCCCTCAAGCAGCCAACATTCCACTGGGGTGATGGAGTATACATACAGATAAGCCAATGCAAACTACATGCAAATTAACTTGAGGCAGAGCATCAGCAACAGGAATCTTGGGAAAGGCTTTGAGAAGGAAGGGGCGTGCGAAAGGTGCTCCAGCCTGCAAGAAGCAGCCGTGAGGAAGGCAGCATTCCAGGCATGTGGGCAGCCTGGCAGAAGACCTGAAGCAGAGCACGGGCTGTCCTGGACAGAAAAGAGCAAGTGGCTGGTGGTGGGGATAATGGGAAACCAACAGGAATGGATAGGTTGAGGCAACTGTGAAGGGCAAAGTGCCTAACGAGGTTTTTGTATTTTAATTTAGAGTAGATTTAGAGCCACTAAAGTTCTCAAAGTAAAACTAAAGTTCACTAAAGTAGCAAGACAATGACACGGTCAGGGCTGTGCTTTAGGAATATCCACTTGGTGGCTGGTCCCTGCGGTCTTTCATGTTATCAACGGCGTCTTAATTGCCAAATCTATGACCTCTTCTCCATCCTCGTCCTTCTCAAACTCTGTAGCACTGGACGCAGTAAATCGCCTTCTCCGGAATACTTTCTCCTCTAGGATTTTGTGGCATTCTTTTCTCCTGGCTCTCCTATATGTCTGACCATTCCTTCTCAGCCTCTTGCTCATTCTTCATCTGCATCAACCTCTCTAACCATGTGCATCTCCCGAGGCTTTGTCCTCAGTCTCCTCCTTTTGTCCTATGCTCTTTCTGTAGGAGCAGAACCTGGTTTCAATGGTTTGGTCTCAGCCCCAAGGATGCATGTATGCTAAGGTTTAAGTGACCCAGAGACTGGGTGATCCCACCTGCCCCATCTGCTTTTATGCTGTGGAACAGTTAGACTTAAGTTTCATATCTCTCGGCCCCTCATTCCTTATTAGGAAATTCAGAGTATACCTTCTTTTAGTGGCCCATACTGCCCTGCCTTGGGCTGGGCTTGGTCTCTTGTTCCCATTCTACTCAACTTTTCCCCTCCTCGACAATGTCCCACCCCAAAACTCCCCATTCTCCTGTGCCCTCTGGAAGGCAACGCACTTGCCTTCATCTTACATCTTTTCCCTTCCTATTCCTTCCATCTGCTGGCTCTCACTGAGACCTGGCTCCTTTCTGATGGGCACCCTCTCCAGCCCTGGCGGCATCTTCACTCAGTCTTCTGGTCAAAGCCGGGAATTGGAATACGCCTTGTTTTCCATTGCTGCCTCCAGGCTGTCTCCCTATCACCATCATTCAGTCACCTGTTCTCCTTTGAGGTTCATGAAGTCTACATTTAGTAGATAATCAACATGCGCACAGACATTGTCCACAGACTTCCAGGACAACTCGGTCCTTTCTCGGTAAGTTCAGTATCTGGTTCACAATTTTTCCCTCCTCCTCACTCCTGCCCTCATACTAGAGGACTTCAGCAAACATACTGACTCTTCTTCAAACAACCCAATCTCTCACTTCCTCAACCTTAATTCTCCCAAGCTACTTCCCTACCCCCCCTCAGCCACATATAAAGATGGTCGGACCCTTGATCTCACCATCACCCATATTTATATCGTCTCATCAGCCACAGTGGGACACACTGCACCTTGACTCCAACATAGTGATGGCATTTTGGTCTTCTTCAAGGACGAAGGACAACAACCAATCACCTCCATATTCAAGAATTCTGAAAATTCCCTTATCTGATCATAATCTAGTGGATTTCCTCTTCTCCTCCTGCCTTCCCATACCAAACCCTGCTCTTCATTCACACTGTGACCCCTAGTCCCTTGATGCTTCAGTTCTCTCCTAGGCCATCTCACCTTCACTAGCTACACTCTCCTTTCCCCGTCCTGATCCCCTGGTAAATCAGTTGAACTCCCCTGTTCTCTTATCAGGCCAGGCGTTATTACCTCGTGTCTGTGGAGTGCTCTGCAGGTCTGTGAGGGCCACATAAATGTCCGATGTTATGGGTATTGTTACCATCACTGGAAAGGAAGGCTGTGAGGCAGTGGACTGAGGGCTGGCCCGCAGCCAGGAAGACCAGGGTCAAGCTCTCCCGCTGACCCCTACTAGCTGAGTGACCTGCAGAAGACTTTGCTTTCTGTACCCCAGGAGCTCTGTAAGTCTGTGAGGGAGAGAGGAACAGTTGGTTTTTATCAGCAAAGGGCGTTTTCACACTGGGGATTTCCTATACTGATGAAACCTGTCACATTCTCTTCCCCCACGCCCTTCCCATCCTGCTGGGATTCCACGAGGAGTCTGGTCATTTCTGAGGATGATCTAGTGAGTGTGTATGTGTGTGTCTCTTCTCTTGCTGAAGTGTTTATGGGCTTCCTAGATGTCCAGGGGAGTGCTCTCATATTTGTGACTGGATCAGGAAAACACTGAATGTGGGAGCCCGCACCAAGGATGTTCAGGAACAGTAGGTACTGTCAGAAGCAAGCCAGTGAGGCAGCTCTGGGGCTGTTTGGGCTCCCAGGTAGCAGCTGCTGTGACTGCAGTGAGGGAATAGGTGTGCAATAAATGCTCCACACTTGACAAATGTCAGGCATTATTACTGTTACTCTCCAGGGGAAGGGGCTGCTCTTGGTATTTCCAGCCACTTATCTGAGAATGAGCATCAGCCTCTAACACTGAGTCAAGGCAGATGCACCCACTCCTTAATTAGGCAAAGTCTAGATTCCTAGTTGGGCAGCTAGGTGGTGCAGTGGATAGAGTGCTGGGCCTAGAGTCAGGGAGACTTGTCTTCTTGAGTTCAAGTCTGACCTCCGTCACTTATTTAAGCTGTGTGACTCTGGGCAAGTCACTTAATCCTGTTTGCCTCAGTTTCCTCACCTGTAGTATAAGCTGGAGAAGGAAATGGCAAATTACTCTAGCATCTTTGCCAAGACCTCAAATGGAGTCATGAAGAATTAGACATGACTGAAAATGAGTGAACAACAACAAAAATGTATGTTCCCTTTTATTTACTGAAAGAGACAAAGGAAAATTTCATGAGAAACACAGAAAAACAGCTCCAAGAGAAACAGAGTTCTGGGAAGACCTAAGACAAAAATAGCGTGCTTCTCACAAGGAAGAGTACTTAACCTTTGGTTTCAGTGCATTGTCTCTCAGTGGCTAATTTCCATATGACTATTTAAAAGTCTTGAGGTTTATAGCTGGGACCCTCTAAATCAAAGAACTGTTTGGGGAACCACAGAATAATTTCCTATAGGCTATTTGTGCTACATATAACAGAAATGAGAATTTTAGATTTCTCAATCTAAGTCAGAAGGTCCTGAGTAGAGGTAGCAGAAGCATGGGTAGTCAGGGCATTAGAAGGGAGAAGACAATGAGATAAGATGCTTCTGGTAACCAAGGCACCAGGGGAAAGGGTGCAGAAACCAACAGAGATGAGATGCCAAGAGAAACATGACCCAGTGGAGACCAGCAGGCTAGAGAAAGGCAGGCTCTATAGCTGATGTGAGGAACTGTTCTGATTGGAGGAAAGCTTTAATGCTGAGAGCTAACTGGGGAAAGTAGGATCCTCTGCAGATTGAAAAGCCTACTAGGGAAAGGCTGCCTTGCTCTCTAGTGCCATTTACAGCTCAAGAGGAGAAATCCCTGAGAAGCTTGCCTGCATTACCCTTTACTGCCTTTCCATGGATCCAATGATCATCTCTAAGCTAACGATTCTCAATTCTATTTATAGAGCTCTAACTTCCCTCCTAGCCCCCAGACTCACATCTATAACTGCATATTGGGCATCTTGAACTGGGTGTCCTAAATATCTTAAACTCAACAAGTCCAAAACTAAGCTCATTCTCTTTTCCTGCCAAGCTCTCCTCTCTTCCTAACTTTCTGATTACTATGAAGGATGCTATTATCTTCCTAGCCACTTAAGTTCATGAAACTAGTTGTCACCCTTGACTCCTTACTTTCTCTTATCTCCTCTATCCCATCTGTTACGGCGTGCTGTAGATTTTACCTTCATAACATCCCTTGCATACCTCCCCTTCTCTGCTCTGACACGGCCGCCACTTTGGTGCTGGTCCCTATCACCTCATTCCTAGACTGTTGTAACAGCCTTCTGGGTGCTCTCTCTACTTCAGGTCTCTCTCCTATCTCCAGTTCATTCTCTACTCAGCTGTCAAACTGATATTCCTAAAACACAGGTCTGACCATGTCACCCCCCCCTTCTTCAATAAACTCTGGCTCCCCTGCCTTCCCCACTACCATTCTAGTCTTCTTACACCTTATAACCACTTTCTCCCACCCCATTCCCCTAACATACTCTGCAATACAGTGACACTGGCCTTCTTGCTATCCTTCCACCTCCCAATTCTATGCATTTTCATTGGCTGTCTCTTGTACTTGGAATGTTCCACCTCCTCATCTCTGTCTCCTGGCTTCCTTCAAGCCCAAGATAAAATCCTACCTTATATAAGGAGCCTTCCCCATGTTTGTCAAATTGTCCCGTACAGATCTCGTTTGTATGTGGCTGTTTGTATGTATTCTTCCTCATTAGACTGTGAGCTCCTTGAGATCAAGGAATGTTGTTTATTGCCTTTCTTTGTACCTCCAGTGCTGAGTACGGTGCCTTGCACACTGAAGGCACTTAGCAAATGCTTGTGCTCCTAACCTGACTTGATTTCAATGGTTCCGAAGGGAAGTCCCATGGAACAGAGAGCAGATCTGGGAAGCTACATAGACTCCAGGCTTTCAGGCCTCTGCCTGCTAAGTGGCCTCTGCCTTAGCAGCCCAAGAGTAGCAGAGACATAGATTTGTATCCAGGAGCCCGGAGAGACCCAGGAGAAAACTGGTTCTGCCCAAAGCACATTACATAACAAGGTCACGAAGGCCTTTTGTCCAAAGTTGTCAGCTGCCTCAGGCACATGGTTTCCCACTCACGTGCCTCACTCTTGGCTTTCTGTAAGTTTGTGTTCATTTCCCCTGTGGTGGCAGAAAGTGTATACCTTGGTGGTAGAGTGTAAGCCAGGCTCCTGCACAGGCAGTTATGCTGGGATTATCCTAGATTTGCCTTCAGCTAGTGAACTACAGACCACTGAAAACTAGCCTGCACTGCATGGCTTTAGCCCTCAGGATGCCAAGACTAATAAATTCAGAGACTGGGCATTTGCTCTCTTCAGCCTCTGCTGGACTGGCACCCCGAGGCTCCCTGCTTCCCTGCCCCTCAGGCACCTTAGAGAACACCGTCACTTCCCTGGTCTTACAGATAACAGGGCACTCTCACACCGGCATGGTACCTGCTCTCCATCTAAAGCTCCACATCAGTGTGAGCCTGGAGCATGGATACGGCCCATGACTGGCGCCAGCTGCAGGCACAGGCCAGGACCGCCTCCCTTAGCGGCTCTCCTCCCCCTCCTCCTTGCCTTGTGAGAAGCAATCCAGCTATACCCACTGTTGCTTTTCATCCAAACTCGCCACAGCAAACTTGGAGAAGTGTTGGGAAGTGAGGAGCTTTGGCTCTGGGAAGGGTAGTGCCACCGGGATGGGCATTTTCCCCATAGAGGGCGGTGGCCAGCTAGCTAGGAGACTGAAGCCATGCGGTCACCCGGGCACCCAGCTGGCATTCAGCTTGGGGCAGAAAGCCTGCCCTGAAACCCAACCCTTCCCGGGCTCTTGAGGGTGGGGTTGCTCAGGAACAAGACATTAACCCCAAGGGAACAGAGGACTCTAAATCTCGGCTGGGCCTTAAAGTGACAGAAGCTCTCGCCCACAAGAGGGTGGGAGTAGTGGGGACGCACTGGGTGGAAACGGCCTGAATCTGCCCAGAAGCCATCTCCACCTGGATGCAAAACAACAGCCTGAAGACAGAGGTGCAGATGAATAGTGACAGCGCTCGTTGGCACTGAAGGCAGGTGTCAGCAGAATACTGGACACTCTTCAGAAGCCTGGATTATCCAAATGGTCCACTGTGGAAGGTGGATCGCCCTGGGAGGCTTCTCCACTGACTCCCCTTCTGACCAACACCATGGCCACCTAGCAGACATAGTAGGAACACCAAGGAACCGTATTAGAATGGCTTTACTTGGCCATCAACATATTCCACTGGAGAGATTTCACAGCTGCTCCAGACAGATAGTGGTCCATCCCCATAGAAGCAATTTCTATGCAGATATAGGATGGACAATGGCCAAGCTCCACCTTGACTCTGACATTACAGATATTGTATTGATGATATTATCACACTGGGAAAAACGGAGGCAAAAGTGGGCACTGCCCTGAGGATAAATGGAAGAAGATGGGTAGGCAGTTAACACAGATAAGATACAAGGACCATCCTAAGCGGTTAAGTTCCCAGGGCCATAATGGGCAGAGGTCCAGAGGGACATCTCTGAAGTGGCCAAAAAGGAACTGGCCCTGCAGCCCCCAACAACCAAGAATGAGGCTCAGACCTTGACTGTCCTCTTTGGCTGCTGGTGGCAGCAGGTCCCATATTTGGGGATCAGCATGATGCCTTTCTACCCCAGGACTTGAGTGGAGGCCCTGGAAGCTGCCCAGCTGGCTATCCAATAGTCCTTCCACTTGACCTTCTGTTACCCACCAATGCTACAAATTCTAGGTATCGACTAATCTAGTAGCATTAGCCTAGACTCAGTCTAGAACTTATGGAAGAAGGATGCAGCTGGAACATGGAGACCCTTTAGGTTCTGGTCCTGCACATCTATGGGGCAGTGGTCACTTACACTCCTCTGAGAATTACCCTGCTACTAACAGTGAGGGAAAGACGGAAAGCCTGACCAGGGACATTAATGTCACACTGAGACCTGTGACACCTAGACTCCAATGGGCCCTGACGGAGACCAAGTCCTACATGGCACAAAGAGTATTTTATTATTTTGTTTTCCTCCATCGTTTCATTGCTTCCAACCCTTTGTGACCCCATTTGGAGTTTTCCTGGCAATTTACTGGAGTAGTTTGCCATTTCCTTCTCCGGCTCCTTTTACAAATGAGGAACTGGCACCGGCTCACTGACTCCTTCACCATCTACCTCATACACGCCCTGGTGTCGTTTTGGCTGATTATTTAAAAATGAGAAGTATACCAGTGGGGACCCAAGACCCAGTACTTCTCTTCCCATAACAAGGTTAGCTCTAGGAAGGTGAGAGTGAGTTGGAGCCTTGTGATCACCACTTCTCTGTGGAATAACCACACATGCTGGAGTGGGTGCAAGTGGGGCGAGAGAGTCTGGACAGATGTGGGAGTCAGGGCCACACCCAATGGGGCACACATACAAGAAGCCCAATGGAAGAGCAGATATTCACGCTTAGGTTCCGGCAGACCCGGCATCAAGCCGTGTCCCTAAGTTACAGGGCTGCACTGGAGACGGGCTTCCTTATCGGAAATGACCCACCTTGGAGAAATCACAGGTCCAGCCTCAGTATGGCCCCCAGAGATTCCTTCCCCCTCACACGTGGCAAACCCTCCCCCGTGGCGTGGCCCATGACGTCACTCCATTCCGTGGCCCAACAATCTGACCACAGGAGGGAGGGGTGAGGCTTAGGACCCACGCCCAGACCCCAAAGCTTTTCCAGCTGGGCCCATCAGAGCCAGGGTGGTGACCTTTTGGAGACTCCCTCCCGACCCCTGCCATCTGAGGGACAGCAGGAAGACCCGGGTTCAAGTCTGGCCTCTGGGTGACCCAGGAAACCTGCTGCGCCTGTTTGCCTCAGTTTCCCCAACTGTAAAGTGGGGGTCATCATAGCATCTCCCTCCCTCGGTTGCGGTTATCAAAGGAGTTCACGTTTGTAAGCGTTCCGATGCGCTAAGTGCTTGTTACCGTTACTACTAGCGGCTGTTACTGTTGCTGGGGCAGCACGCGGGGTGACTTATCTGACCACAGGAAAGCACCACGAGCTACCCCTAGGGTGTGGGGAGGGGTCACCTAAGCATGCCCCCTCCTCCCCTCCCCCCTTAGTCACAGACTCTCACGCACACACCCGCACGGCCGCATGCTGGCTCAGTACCTACCCCCAGGGGGCGCCAGGCGCGCGCTTCCTCCTCTAGCTGCTCCACCAGGGGGCGCAGGGACGGGGCTGCGCCTGCGCACTCCCGGGGCCTCAACGGAGCCCAGTCCGGCTGTCGGGCCTCTCGGGACAATGCGGTGCCTCACTCCCAGGGCCGGAAGGACCGCAGGGCCAGGACGCGGAAGGACGATTCCCAACATACACCGAGCGCCGCGGCATCCGCCCTGGACGGGCCGGAGGAGTTCCCGAGGCATTCTGGGAGATGCAGTCCGGGTGCAGGAAGGCGCGGGACACCCCCGCCCGGCCCGCTGCGCCAGGCGCGCCCTCGGACGGACTCCATCTCCCAGAAGGCTCCGCGTGCCCGTTGCAGCGCCGCGAGTGCGCCTGCGCGCTGGGCGGAGGCGGGGCCGCTGCGCGCTTCCCCGAGCCTGCCCGGCTCGTCTGGGTCTGGGGCGCCCCCGTCCTACCCCGCCCCCCAGCTTTGGCCTTGGCCTTCCCGGGATGGGCGGTTTCTATCGAGCCCTTTCCTAAAGGGAGGTCTTTGTAAGCGCTTTGCCCCCTCGGAAGCGATCCACACAGGCGAGCTGCGGTCGCTGCTGTTGGCCGGGGGCCGGACCGAGCGCCGCGCGGCGGGAAGACCTGGGTTCACATGCAGACCCTGGGCAAGCCCCTTCACCTCAGTCTGTCGCATTTTACCATCCATGAAATGGGAATCACGACAGCACCGACCTCCCCGGGTGGTTGTGAGAATCAAACGCCATCTCGGTTGTAAACGCCTAGCCCTGTGCCAGGCACACAGTAGGCGCAACATAAACGCGTACTCCCTTTCGCTTCCTCCATCCCAGCCGGTTTTGGACTCAGGGGCTCCAGGCCCGCACGTGATGCAGGGACCTCGTGTGACCAAAGGGGCAACCCTGAACCTGCCCTGCATCCGGTCCAGAGGAGGGCCGGCCACTTGAGTGGTGACCAGCCTGTACAAGCAGAGCAAGGGAAAGGAGGAGCTGCCTGGAGGGGTGTGGGGCAAGGCCCAGAGGCCTCGGGAACCTTGTGAGTGACCCTAACGTTGACGAAGCCTCCTCAGGTGGTGAGCCGACATCCAGCCGGGAAGGATCGCTAACACGGATGATGGAGGAGGTCCCACACGGCGGCAGCACTGGGATAGATACGGCACACAGTCGGCCCTGAATAAGTGCTTACGGACTGAAAGTATGGGGATGGGCCCACCCACGGAGCCACCCCAGCTTCAACAGCAGCTATCAGAGTCTTTATACAGCAGGTACAAGCGAGCAGCTAGGAGGTGCAGTGGATGGAGCACGGCCTGGAGTCAGGAAGATTTGAGTTCAAGTCCAGTCTATCCAGTTTCTAGCTTTGTGATCTCGGGCAAGTCATTGAACCCTATTTGCCTCAATTCCTCATCTGAGAGATGGGAACACGCTGGAGAAGTAAATAGCAAACCACTCCCAAATCTTTGCCAAGAAAACACTATGGGCAGCTTCCATGGGTTCACAGAGTTGGACACAACTGAATGACAACAAAGAGTGGCACAGACACTCTCCTCTATGGGACCCACATAGGCTAGGGAATGACTCTGGACATGACTTCCTCTTTCTTTCCTTCTCTGAATCCTTTGTGGATATTCCCAGAGACCTGTCCAGTTACATTAGCCACAGATGGAATCCTGGGACATTATCTCCGTGTTTAATGTTGGCAGGATTCTGCAGGTATATTTACACAGGGCATCCCAAATTTGACTGTGAGCTCCTTGAAAAGACTTTCTTTTGGCCTTTCTTTGTACCCACAACACTTCGCACTGGACCTGGCACAGACTGAGCACTTGATAAATCCTTGTTAGCTAAGTCTAGAAAGTGATTCTGGTCACTGCCACCTGCTCTGTAACCCAGCGATGCTGGCCTCCTCGTTATTCCTTCACAAAACACTCCATTTCCTGACTCCAGGCATTTTCCCTGGCTGTCTCCACATGCCTGAAACTCTTTCCCTTGTCAACCTGAAAGTTTAGTGAAAGACGCAACAAGCTAGGTGATAAATATTTCATATTGTTTATTCCCTTAAGTTAGTGACGTATACATGGAGCCACAGCTTTAACTGACAGCATCAAGCAGTCTTAGGAGGACATTTAAACCCTGACTCAGGATGTCTGTATTACTCAGATTTATGGTCTCCATATGTGTTTAACCATAGCTTGAGAAAGGAATTTTCTCAATTGAATAGGTTGTAAATACAATCAGATAGGAGAATGTCAAAGTGTCAATTGAAATTATAGATCCAGGATATCTGTGTTTTTAGGATATGTCCATAAAATACCAGGATAAGGAAAGTCCCATTATTCAAGGTAGTGCCCGGGTCTAAGGCACCTTAGTGGTCACAAACGGAAGAATCCTGGTCATCTTCATCTGGTCCTATAGTTACTGACACAGGAAGGGGATTTTGAGTTTACTCAGAGAACAAAGGAAAAACATGTCTGTTATGTTCGGGGGCTTCTTCTGGTTGATTAGTTCAGGCTTTGGCCCTTATTGGGGCTCAGATGGTCTTAAATGATGATCACCCTCCACATCTCCACCTCTTGGCTTTCTAAAAGTCTCAGCCAAAGTCCCACCTTTGACAAGAATCCTTTCCTGATCCCCCTTATGCTAGTGCCTTTGGAGATTATCTCCAATTTATCAAATATATATCCTTTGCACATAACTGTTTTCATGTTGCACCCCTTGTTAGACTGAGCTCCTTAAGAACAGGGATTGTCTTCTGCCTTACTCTTTCCAGTGTTTATCAGTGTCTGGTCTATGGCCAATACTTATAGAAGGTAGCCATTGTTCCCAAGGAGTATAGAAACCTTCAATTCCTAAAAATGGGGGGGAGGCACTGCCTTCTTAAAGGGGTCTCTCTGTGGCCATCTCTGTCCATCTTCTTTGCTCCTCTGATAAATTTGTACTAGCCTGCTATGAGTAAGAAGTGACTTACAAGTGACACCTTTTCTCCTGCCTGAGGGCATGTGCGATGCAAAGTGTGCGTGCTTTGTGTTCAGAACCGAGGCTGCAGTGAAGTTGCAGGATGCAACCGGGCAAGCACTGCCAGAAACACCTCCGCTTCATTACATGTTTGATTTTGAATTAATTTTTGGTGATTGTGTGTTCAGAAACCTTTTACTGTTGCCAAATTTTTTGTGACCCCATATGGGATAACAACCCATGGTTTGAGAAGTGCTGCCCTAGACTAGTGTTGCAGCTAGACAGAAACCCAACATGAAAGTGGAGAGGTTTGGCCATAGTCCCCTTTCATGTATACACACGGAGCTGCTGGACTACGGTATCTAGGTTATACGTTATTTGTTACATAAAGAAAAAAATACATGCAAGATGGATACATAAGAGATGAAATGTAAAAGAGGGAACGATTCCATCAGCAGGAGTTACTGGGAAAGTGGGATTGGAACAGAGTCTTGAAGAAAGCCTGGTGAACTCCGCAAAGGTGGGGGGTGGGCAGAACATTCCAAGGATGCAGAACAGCCAGGGCTTAGGCTTAGAGAGAGGAGCGCAATTAGGCTCCTCCTGCAAGTAGGCCAATGTAGCTGTACTGTAGAGTTAACGGAGGGGAGGAATGAATAAGGAGGCTGAAATGGTAGGAAGGGGCTAGGTTATGAAAAGCTTTAAATGCCAGACACCGGAGTTTATATTTGATGGGGTGGCGTATTGGACCTATGCTTTAAAAATCACTTTGGCAGCTGCCTGGAGAATGGATTGTAGTGGGGAGAGTTTTGAGACGGGAGGACCAGTTGGAAGGCTATTGCAGTAGTCCAGGTAAGAGGTAATGAGAATCTGAACCTTAGTGACTGGAGAGATGGCAGTGCCCTTGACGATAATGTGGAAATTTGGAAGAGGGAAGGATTTAGGGAAAAGGGAATGAGTTCCGTTTTGGACATGTTGAGTTTGAGATGTCTATGGGATGATAATCATTTAAGATCATTTGAACCCTAATAAGGGCCAAAACCTGAACTAATCAACCACAAGCAGCACCCCAACATAATAGTCATGCTTTTCTTTGTTCTCTGAGCGAACTCAAAATGCTCCTTCCTGTGTCAGCAATGACAGAACCAGATGAAAGCTGACCAGCATTCTTCTGTTTACGATCATTAAGGTGCCTCAGACCCGGACGCTACCTTGAATAATGGGACTTTTCTTACCTTGGTATTTTATGGACATATCCTATGTTAAACACAGATATCCTGGGTCTATAATTTCAATTGACATTTTGACTTTCTCCCATCTGATTGTATTTACAACCGATTCAATTAGGAGAAGTCCTTTCTCGTGCTATAGTTAAACATATATGGAGATCATTAATCTGAGTAGGCATCGTAAAAATGTTTTAGATTGTTACTATCTGCAGAATTTCATCTGCCTTCTTTCCTGAGCCCAGAATCCCGCATCTTAGATCTATAAATCAGGTCAAGTCGATCCCTCTTTACCCAGACTTCCGACTGAAGAAGGGGTTTTGAATGCCCTTAGGCTTCTCCCCTGTGGCAAGGTGCCTGGTGTTGATGCTGTTCTAGTAGAGAATTATAAGGCAGGGGGCCCGCTGCTCATAGAAAAGCTGACTGAAACCTTCCAGGTTATATGGCAAATGGAGGTTATCCTCCAGGAGGTCAAAGATGCCTCTGTTGTCCATCTCTATAAAGGAGAAGGACATAGGTTATCCTGCGACAATAATGGGGGGTGGGGTGGGGTCTCTCTCATAGTCATTGCTGGCAATATTCTTGCTAGAATCCTTCTTAATAGGCAGATTCTTCATTTGGAAGATGGTTGTTTATCTGAGAGCCAGTGTGGCTTCAAAGGATTGAGGAATGGTTGCTGTGGTGTTTTCTGCCTGATAATTCCAGGAGAAATACCGGGAGCGGAATGGACCTCCATACAGAACATCCATTGACTGATCAAAGCCTTTGATACTGTCAGTTGTGAGGGCTTGTGGGAAATCACAGCAAAATTTGGTTGCCTAGAGAAGTTCATCGGTATTATACATCAGTTTCATGACAGTGTCATTGCACAGGTTCTGGAAAATGGATGATGCTTTCGAGTTT